AGTTCTTCAGTTTCGGGGGAATTTCCATGCTCCCCTCACCTTATCCATGTTCAACATTCCAATAAAACCAAAAAATAAGAGACCACTAGACTTCCTTCGAGCCAATGGAAAAGTGAGGAAAATGCTGTGTGCCCTTCAACTGGGGGATGAGGTTCACCTGTTGCTCTTTAGGGGGTGTACTACACTTAAGAAGAAACGTTCTTCAAGCAAATGTAAGGGACCACAGACCTGGTTACACAAATCTTGCAAGAAGATGCACCTGCACAGTAAAGGAGTGTGTTCTCATGACATTTGAGATACTTTTTAAGGAGCTCACAAGTAGGACTATGACACCCACTTTCCAGTGCAGAAGCTGGGTGGAAGGTACTGTATATTTTCTACCTTTTTCTGCAGTTTTTTGTTCAGCTATATGACTGTGACTATAAATGGGAGGGGAACCTGATGAAACAAGTAGTTTTTGCATTTAGTGCAAGGTCCCCTTTAAAGAAGACTTTGTTCCTTTCTAAGTGTCTGACTGCTTGGTACTTATTAATCATGTACCTAAGAAAATAACAAGGCAAAGGAAAATATAAATCACGTCAAGGCATGTTTATCTTAAGCTAATTATTTAATGCTGTTAAATAATTAGGACCTATTATTTCACTCTTTTCATGGAAAAATAGAAGTCACCGCTCTGGCAATGTGAATGAAGGATGATATAAGAGTTACTCATTAAAGCTAATATGCAAGCTTCCATTCCTTGTGATGGTTTGCTTTTTAACACTTTGGTAACTAACATTTAGAAAGTAATTTAGAAATACTTAAAAAGCTTCTTTCTACCTATAATGTACCAATAGGAAGTTGAAAATAAGTGAGCTCTCAATCAACACAGGGAATAGCGACCATGCACCAAAGACACCATATAAGACCTTCAGGTAAACAGTAATATACTAAAAGGGTGCAGCGCTGGTAAAAATCACAAATATAATGTATATATGCTAAATTCATATATAGATAATTAATCATCAATAAGGTGACATTGTGCAAATTCATATGCAACTAGAATCTGTGACTAATATTGCAAAAAAAAAAAAAAAACAAAAAAAATTTTTTGAGCATACCAAAAGGTGACAGTGTGGTTGAAATCACAGACGGACGCATAGACATCCACAAATTAATGAGCCTTGTATATAAATAGATAAGTAAGGTGACATTGTGCAAGCATATATGCCACTATATTATGTGGCTAATATCGTGAAAGATCTATAACCAATCTAAATGAGTCCAAAAAATGTGAACAAGATCGCTGACGATCTTCAGGCGTCCAATAACCAGAAACGTGAAAAAGGTGAGAAAATAAGGTAAAGACTGCGCACCCACCAGATACGCAATCTTTATGCGCATTTGTATATCATAAAAACGCATCAGACGCCCTCACATAGGTCTGGTAAGATCTGGTCATGTAGCCTCCACTGCTTCATAATCCATACTCCAATAGCATACGCTCTGCAATCATGATGAGCTCCCACAGGGGCTCAAAAAACAGAGGAAGCCAATAGTGTAGTATGTCAAGGATATTTATTCCAAAGTTCAGGCAGATGGGTATAAAAGAGTATAGCTGTAGCTATACGCTGACGCGTTTGGAGCTATGGCTCGTAGTCATAGGGATTCAGTTAAGCTGAATCTCTATGACTACGAGCCATAGCTCTAAACGCGTCAGCGTATAGCTAGAGCTGATTGACGCTACACCGCTGGCACCACGAGGAGTCCCAGCGGCCATCCTGTTTTGGTCAGTATTACTCTTTTATACCCATCTGCCTGAACTTTGGAATAAATATCCTTGACATACAACAGTACACATGGACTGAATATCATAGCCGAACCAGTAAAGAAGCACCTTACAGCAGGACTTGTAATACAATAAAAGCAGAAATCCAGGCAAAAATATTTTTTAACCATGCATTGGGGCTGTGCCTGCACTGCATGGGCTAACTGCTTGTTTTTCTCTGGGGTGATAACAGTGAAATTATACTTACCGACTCTGCCGATCCTCGGAGCGCAAGACCACTCGCTGCTGCTTCTGCCCCTCTGCACGCCAGCGGTCTTGTGAATGGACTGTTCCTGACGTCATCACATCCATAGACCAGCTCTGGGTGTAAGGAACAGTCCACCACTGGATGTGGGGGAGCACAGTTTTTTGGAGGATCGGAGGACAGGGTAAGTATAGCTCTTCGCTAAACCCCTGGACAAAATGAACAGTTTTCCCATGCACAGTCCCACTCCATTAGAAAATAAAAAAAATTGACATGAAGTTCTGCTTTAACACTACAGACAACAGAGTAGCAGGCTTACAATACCGGATAACATCTGACGAAGAGAGTGACTGGTAAGCAGTGTGGTGACAAGGGCGCCTGAGAGGCAGAATAAAGGAAGTGCAAGGTAGCAGTTCAGGCATAAGGTCCCTACACTGTGCCTCCTCCACTGGAACCTTTCCCTAGACTAGATGCACTGTCACCCACCAGTGGGTTCCTTATCCTGTCTTAGCGACTTTGCAAATGAGCACCAACTGCAGTGGGACAATTTATATTTATTAGCACTGCCCTTACTAATGATGGCTGCAGAGATCATCCAGTGAAACAGTGTCCAATCAGATGGCTGCTCCTCTGATGATATTTATCAAGGCCTCCAAGGAAGAAGAGTTTCTCTTCCCCTCCATGCTGTCTGCATAGCGACTGCCGCAACTGTTCCACCTGTGCAGGAAGGCCAAATTACATCCTTCATATGGGTTTATTTATGAAGGATTCAAAGGAAAATTCACCCAGCAAATCCTTCACTGCAATTCATTTAAGTGAAATTCCATGGCACTTGTCCAGCACGCTACATTTACATTTACATTAGCCTATTTATGAAAAGAATGTAGACCCAGAGAACATAGCACCTGTTAAGCAACCATTGGATGTCCCAAGTAGAGTAGCTTTTAAGAGTTTTTTTAGTCCATCCCCAGGGAAAAGAAATATGCTACCTTGCAGTGGGGCATTGCAAGGGTTATAGCCTTCTTTAGGTCCAGGGCACCACAATAAGCAATTTTGCTCACATCATTCGCTCTCCCAAAAACCAACACTTTCCTCTGTTCCCCTAAGCTTGGGCAGTAAATTGTCCTTTGGTGTCCTCATTTCTAAGCAGGGTTATGGGCTGTGCATTGGATTTGATAACCTCAGAGGACCTGCGACCACCGAAGCATTGGGGAGAATAGTTTCTTCAAATAAGTCTTACAGCCTGGAGGGAGCATGCAAGAGAAGAGGATCTGGAAAGTATACTGTAGATGCTTTTTCCAGCCCCCTAGACCTTTAGGAGTATTGAACCTTTGAGTGCAAGCGCAAACATTCTACAAAGGAGCATTTTTCTTTTCCCTGGAGTTTCCAACACTGTTTGCAGATTTGTCAGCAGGAGCTCTCCGTGGTGCTGAAAACATTTTTGCAAACCAAAGCAGCTTTTCTAAACCAGGGTTCCTCCAGAGGTTGGTGGGAGTTCCTTGAGCAATGAGCAATTTCTGCCTCTCAGATAAGTAACCACCATTCCCTTTTAGCTATCTATAAGGGGGGATTCTTCTCACTGACCACAAATATAAGAAGCACTCTTCCCAGTGATCATCACATTAATGTACAAGCAGGGGAGGACTGACAACTCATGGGGCCCCCAGGCAATAGGGGATCATGGGGCCCCTGTGTACTTGCCCAAACTCAAAAAAGCCTATGAAAAAGGTACCAGGGGCATCTCATGGGGCCCCCTACTGACTCCGGGCCCTCGGGCAGCGCCCGAGTTTCCAAATGGTCAGTCCGCCCCTGTGTACAAGTTACCATGAGCTGTAGATACAATAATTATTAGCAGGGGTTACTTGAGACCAGGAACTTTTTTGAAGGGTTCTTCCATGTTAAAAAGGTTGAGAATAGTTGGAGTAAAGGCTAAATTCGCAATGCAAAAACATCAGGATAAAGATTATTATTTTCAAAAAAGTGACAGTTATTTTTATTTTATTTTCACATCAGGCATGTGTCTGGTATCTCCATATCAAGATGGCGGTGAGCATGCAGCCTCCTGCTATGTTGATACTAAGTTCCCACCAAAACAGCAGTCACCCTTCCAAAGCACCAGTGCTAATGTGTGCTGGGCTCTCCGGCACCCATGGGAAGGGAAAAATTGACACCCCCTGAGCTATGTGACATGGCGTTTTTTCTATTTTGCAGTCAATAATAGTAGTCATTTCATCACCATGAAGGAAAAGGCTTGTTTGTTCTTGGCATGGTTCCTGAATGCCGAGAATCTTCTAACTTCTTTACTCACTGGCTAACTGGCACTGAGGCATGCAAAAGGCTATTAAAGCTGAATTCTAGGTATGGCAATATTTACATAGTGACATTACCTTATCTTGGACCAATGTACAGTTGTCCTCAAAAGTTTGGCATTGACATTGAAAAATATGACTGATCATGCCAAATAAACTATCTTTTATTTAACCACTTGCCTACCAGGCACTTATACCCCCTTATTTACCAGGCCAATTTTCAGCTTTCAGCGCTGCCGCACTTTGATTGACAATTGCGCGGTCATGCAACATTGTACCCATATGAAATTTTGATCATTTTTTTCTCACAAATAGAGCTTTCTTGTGGTGGTATTTAATCGCCACTGGGCGCTTTACTTTTTGCGCTATAAATAAAAAAACTGAAAAAAATTTGAAAAAAAACAAAAACATTTCTTTGTTTCTATTATAAAATTTTTCAAACAGGTATTTTTTCTCCTTCACTGATGTACTTTGATGAGGCAGCACTGATGGGCACTGATAGGCGGCACTGATGGGCACTGATAGGCAGCACTAAAGGGCACTGATAGGCAGTACTAATGAGGTGGCACGGATAGGCGGCACTGATAGACAGCACTAATGAGGTGTCACGGATAGGCGGCACTAATATGCAGCACTGATAGGCGGCACTGATAGGTGACACTGATGATGGGTACTGATAGACGGCACTGGCTGGCATCACTGCTGGGCACTGACTGGCGGCACTGACTGGCACAACCCCTGGGCACTGACTGGTGGCACTGACTGGCAGCACTGCTGGGCTGCACTGGTGGATGGCACTGGTGGGCAGCACTGGTGGGTGGGCACAGGTGGGTGGCACTGGTGGGCACAGGTGGGTGGCACTGGTGGGCACAGGTGGGTGGGCACAGGTGGGTGGCACTGCTGGGCACAGGTAGGTGGCACTTCTGGGCACAGGTGTGTGACACTGCAGAGTGGCACAGGTGGGTGCACTGCTGGGCACAGGTGGGTGCACTGCTGGGCACAGGTGGGTGATCTGCTGGGCACAGGTGGGCGGAGCTAGTGGGCACACTGCTGCGCACAGGTGGGCGGAACTTGCGGGTGGCACTGCTGGGCACCGATCATCAGGGCACTGATCATCAGTGCCCTGATGATCGGTGTCAATTCCCGCTCTGACAACTGCCGGTTCTCGGCAGTACTTTCCTCACGATCTGACAGCACTTGCATTTCCCTCTGATCAGCGTGTCATTGGACACCGCTGATCACATGGTAAAAGGCCGCTGTGATCGGCCTTTTACCACATCACGTGATCAGCTGTGTCCGTAGGACACAGCGATCACAGAGATCGCCGGGTGAGCGGTTCTGGGAGGCCGTCATATGACGTCCACCCAGAACTGGCCGGCCGCAGTGCAGCCGTCATTCAGCTATCTGCGGTCGGCAACAAGTTAAGGATAGTGACCATATGAAACCACTTATTATCACATAGTTGTTGGCTCCTCTTTAAATCATAATGATAACAGAGAAAAAAGTTTACATACCCTGGAATGTTTGGCCTTGGTACAGACAATCAAGGTGACACACACACACATGTTAAAATGGCCATTAAAGGTTAATTTCCCCCATCTGTGGCTTTTTAATTTGCACTTAGTGTCTGTGTATAAATAGTCAATGAGCATGTTAGCTCTCAAGTGGATGCCCTGAACAGGCTAGATACTGAGCCATGAGGAGCAGAAAAGAACCTGCGTAACAAGGTAATGGAGCTATTTAAAGATAGAAAAGGATATAAAAAAGATATCCAAAGCCTTGAATATACGAATCAGTTCTGTTCAATCACTTATTAAGAAATGGAAAATTTGTGGAACTCTTGATACCAAGCCAAGGTTAGGTAGATCAAGAAAGATTGCAGCCATAACTGACAGAAAAATTGTTTGGGATACAAAGAAAAACCCACAGGCAACCTCAGGAGAAATACAGACTGCTCTGGAAAAAGACGGTGGTTGTTTTAAGAGGCACAAAAGGATGATACTTGAAGAAAAATGAGCTGCATCGTTGAGTTGCCAGAAAGAAGCCTTTACTGCGCCAATGCGCCACAAAAAAGCCCAGTTACAATTTGCCCAATAACACCTTGACACACCTCACCAGATTTCTAAAAAATACTTTCAGGATCATTGTATGCTCACCCATGTCCACCATCTGTGTCACTCACTGCCACCATTTCTGATAGCTGGAGAGGTCATCAAGGATTGCCCCGGTCAGTGTCCTTGTATTGACATCATTGTCTGGATCCTGACAGTACTCTGATGCTGGGCAGCCAAAAGGAAGTGTCCACATCACACAGACAGTGAAGTAAACTCTCGAAGCAGCACCCCACCTCCTGCAAATAAAAAAGATAGAAGGTTTGGGACTAGAGCATCACATGACCATGGCTTTGGCAAGCTTTAGTGCAAGTATTTAGTGTATGGGACTTTTATGATTATGACCTGAGAAAGAAATGTGACATAAATTAAGTTAAAGCTCATCTGTTTTACTGAGTTGATTGTACTATCACTTATACATGGAGATGTTTACTATGTAGAGCATTCTCCTTTATAGGTTTTGATAAAATTAGTTTTGGCAGATCGTCCATTTTGTTTTAGTGCCCTGGCCCAAAGATTTTCTCTTTTGTATTGTTGCTCTATAAATTCCATTAAAAAAAGATAAAATAATCAGGATTATAAGGGGCATTTTTTGGGAAAAAGAACAGGTTCATGTTAAATGGAAGAAGCTTTTGTAGCCCTCAGGGGTCATTTAAAGCTCATTTCACCTTCACAAATAACCAGAAACTGCCTTGGGCTAGGTTTACATCTCTGCATGTTGTGATTGATATGGCTTTGGATGGGTATGACTTGGATGCAACTTGGAAGCTACTTTGATGCAACTTGAGTGCAAACTCACATCAAAGTCATATCAAAATTGCATCAAAGTCGCACTGCATGAACAGAACTGTCATACTTTCCTATTGGCAAAAAAGAGATCATCCAGTGAAACAGTGTCCAATCAGGATGGCTGCTCCTCTGATAATGTTTATCAAGGCCTCCGAGGAACAAGGGTTTCTCTTCTCCTCCAAGCTGTCTGCACAGCGACTGCTGCAGCAATTCCACCTGTGCAGGAAGGCCAAACTACACCTGCCTACATATGGGTTTATTTATGAAGGATTCAATGGAAAATTCACCCAGCAAATCCTTTACCGCAATTCATCCAAGTGAAATTCCATGGCAATTTTTGGCACGCTACATTTACATTTTCATTACCCTATTTACAGAAAGAATGTAGATCCAGAGAACGCAGCACCTGTTAAGCAGCCATTGGATGTCCCAAGTAGAGTAGCTTGTAAGAGTTTTTTTTTAGTCCATCATCGGGGAAAAGAAATATGCTACCTTGCAGTGGGGCATTGCAAGGGTTATAGCCTTCTTTAGGTTCAGAGCGCCACAATAAGCAATTTTACTCACATCATTGGCTCTCCCAAAAACCAGCACTTTCCTCTGTTCCCCTAAGCTTGGCCAATGTATTGTCCTTTGGTGTCCTCACTTCTTAGCAGGGTTATGGGCTGTGCATTGGATTTGATAACCTCAGAGGACCTGCTACCACGGAGGCATTGGGGAGAACAGTTTCTGCGGATAAGTCTTACAGCCTGGGGGGAGCATGCAAGAGAAGAGGATCTGGAAAGTATAGGTGCTTTTTCCAGCCCCCTAGACCTAAATGAGTATTGAACCTTTGCAGTGCAGGGGCAAACATTCTACAAAGGAGCATTGTTCTTTTCCCTGGAGTTTCAACCGTTTGCAGATTTGTCAGCAGGAGCTCTCCGTGGTGCTGAAAACATTTTGCAGACCAAAGCAGCCTTTCTCAACCAGGGTTCCTCCAGAGGTTGGTGGGAGTTCCTTGAGCAATGAGCAACCACTATTCCCTTTTAGCTATCTATAAGGGGGGAGTCTTCTCACTGACCACAAATATAAGAAGCACTCTTCCCAGTGATCATCACATTAATGTACAAGTTACCATGAGCTATAGATTCAATAATTATTAGCAGGGGTTACTTGAGACACGGAACTTTTTTGAAGGGTTCTTCCATTTTAAAAAGGTTGAGAATAGTTGGAGTAAAGGCTAAATTCGCAATGCAAAAACAGCAGGATAAAGATTATTATTTTCAAAAAAGTGACAGTTATTTTTATTTTATTTTCACATCAGGCATGTGTCTGGTATCTCCATAGAAAGATGGCGGTGAGCATGCAGCCTCCTGCTATATTGATACTAGGTTCTCACCAAAACAGCAGTCACCCTTCCAAAGCACCAGTGCTGATGTGTGCTGGCATCCATGGGGAGGGAAAAAGTCATACTTTCCTATTGGCAAAAAAAAAGCTGTGTCAAAATTTCACCCATTCAAAGCTGGATCAAATTCACATCAAAATCGCTCCCATCCAAAGTCACATCAAGGTCGCATCAAAGGCAATACTTTGCTAGTGGCAAAAAAACCCCGTTGCAAACCTCATCGCAAATGCACAACAAAAAGCCAAATCTGACATTTCATGCAAAACTTCAAAAATGGACTGGACAAAATTATTGGCATCTTCAATTTAATATTTGGTAGATTACTTCTTGGAAAAAAACTCGCTTTCTGTAGCCATCAATGAGTTTCTTCCACTTCTCTAGTGGAATTTTGGACTACTCTTCTTTCGCCAACTGGGAGAATGGCTACAATGCCATGGACTGTAAATTTCTTGACAATGTTGAGCACAATGGACACAAGAACATTAAGATCTGTTAATTGATATGGGTGAGTTTAATTACAAATTTCAAACTTGGAATTCAATTATTTCTTACAATTTTGAGAAGGTGCCAATAATTTTGTCCAGTCCATTTTTGGGGTTTTGCGTGGAATGTGTCAGATTTTTTTTTGTTTCTCCACTTTTTTGTGTCATACCAATAAAAGCAAAGGAAATAAACAGAACGGCTAAACATTTGTAAGTGCAACAATTTTCTGGGCAAAGTGGTGCATTATCCATCAGAAATGCAGGGATGCCATTATTTTTGGCAATGACTTTCTCTCTCTCTCTCTGTATATATATATATATATATATATATATATTTATATTTATTTGCCGGAATTTTATTTGTTTATTTTTTTTATACTAGTCACGGTGGTGACCAGTGACTTATAGTGGGATTATGATAGTGTGGCGGACAATCTGACACTAATTAACACTGACACTAATACAGTGATAAGTGCTGATACTATACACTGTCCCTGTACTAATGACACTGGCTGAGAAAGGGATAACATCTAGGGGCAATCAAAGGGTTAACTGTGTGCCTAACAATGTATAATGTGTGTAATATGTAGTGCTTTTACTAAGCAATGTCACTGTTTTATCTCTGTGCTTTGCAGGGAGAAATAAACAGCCACATCATTGCTGTCTGTATAGAGCCCTGTGTTGTTTGTCAACACAGTGCTCTGTACTGCCATTCACTTAGCTGATTAGCAGGTCCAGGCCATAAATCATTGGGTTGACCAACTTGAGCTGTAGTGAATGATAGCACAGGTCAGGCAGTGCGTGTACACCCCCCTACCTGAAAATGCTGGATCATGTACATGTATGTGATCTGGCACAGCAGGGCTGCCCTGTTGCAGTAAAAATTGTGGTGTTAGGTCCAGAAGTGGTAATACCCACTGACAGGAAGCTGTCATATGTAGTAGCTGTAGAAATATGCTTTAGAGAATGACTCTTGCTCTTGTTGCAAAATTGGTGATATCTGTAAACAGATGGTATATCAGACCTCTGCAGAGAGACTGCTGCTTCCACACAGAGATCAAGATTCCTTCCCTGCAGTATGCTGGTGAGGGACAGGCTTTTCTTCCAAATCTGTTTTTCTGGTTTCTAAGGAAAACAAACTGTAATATTTTGCACACCGTTTGTTTTGAAGTACTTGGAATGTATTTAGCTGATTTCAGTTAAATCTTAAGTTAGACTTTGATGTAATTTAATAAATCTGTTGCTAATTTAGTTGGCATATCATGGCAG